CCTTGGACTTCTTCCTTCAGTATCATTGACTCTTGAGCATATGCTACTTTTGAAATGTTTGAACATCAACCATTTCCTTTTGGTACAGTGACTCTGTGTGTATTCCTTCCATCTTCTTTTGATGCTTTCTGTATCATTCCATAATTTGCCCAGAAACTGTTTACTTGTGCTTTGTTGACTATACAAAACTGTGTGGATCATGACAAACCATGGATGGCATTGCAAAGAATGGGTATTCCAAATACTTCATTGTGCTCATAAAGAACCTGTATACAGACAAAGAGTCAGCTGTTAGAACAGAACAAGGGGATACTGAATGGTTTAAAATTCGGAAAGATGTGTGCCAGCATTGGATCCTTTCACCATCCTTACTCAAACTCTATGCTGAGTAAATAATCTGTAAAGCTGGAGTATATAAAGAAGAATATGGCATCAGGATTGGAGAAGACTCATTAACAACTTGCAATGTGCACATGATACAACCTAGCTTGCTGAACATGAAGAGGAGTTAAAATACTTAACTGATGAAGATCAAAGACCATATCCTTCATTTTAGGTTGCATCTCAATGTAAAGAAAATAAAAATCTTCACAACTGGATCAATACATAACATGATACATGGAGAAAAGACTGAAGTGGTCAAAGACTTTATTTGGCTTGGATCCACTATTAACATTAATGAAAAGAGCAGTTAAGAAATAAAACGTATTGCATTAAAGCAAATCTGCTGACCAAGACCTCTTTAAACTGTTCGAGAGCAAAGATGTCAGTTTGAGGACTAAGGTGTGCCCTACTTAAGCATGGCAACTGCCAATCACCTCATATACTTGTGAAAGTTTGACAATGAATAAGGAAAACTGTGGAAAAACTGATGCATTTGAGTTATGTATGGTGTTGGGACAGAATAATTAAAGTACCATGGACTTCCTGAAGAATAAACAAACCTGTGTTGGAAGAAGAACAGCCAGAATGCTCCTTAGTTAGTAGCCAGCAAGGTGAGACTTCATCTCTCATAACATAACTGTGGTCATGTTACAAGGGAGGGACCAATCCCTGAAGAAGGACATCATGCTTGGTAAAGTGGAGAGTCAGTGAAAAAAAGGAAGACTCCAAATGAGATGGATTGGCACAGTGGCAACAGCAATGGGCTCAAGCGTGGCAACGATTGTGAGATTGGCACAGGACTGGGCAGCGTTTCATTCTGCTGTGCATAGGGTCACTTTGAGTCACCTAACAACTGGAAGTTCAAGGTCTAGTCAGTATACTTTACCAACACCAGGGCTGGATTAGGCTCTGAGGGCCTTAAAAATTGATCATCTGTTGTGCCCCCTCCTCTGCTTACTCACACATTTGAATGAGGAACTGTGAGTTTCATACATATATGTATGCATATGTAGGCATACATGAGGGGGGCTTCAAAAAGTACATGGAAAATGGAATTAAAAGGTAATGGACTTCAATGACTGATGATCAGAATTCAACTAGAAGAAGAAAGAAGAGGAAAAAAAGGAGTAATCTGATACAATTTGATGAACTTGACCTACAACTATGGAAGCAGTAGCTCAAAAGAGGGAACAAATCTTTACAGCAAGGATCATTCCTACCTCCTCCATACACAGAGTAGACAGGGATGGGCAACTTGGACATTGGCTACTCAAAATGGGGGGCTATAAAGGCAAGAAGTGACTGGCTTACAAGCTTTCAAGAGGGAACCTAGATCCAGAGGGTGCAGAGGAAGGTAGACTCTCCACTGAGTAGTATCCAATCTGTCTGGGTGGGGCTGATGAAAGGAGATAGGGATAGCACTCATGCGGTACAATAGTGAATAATTACTATCAGGACTGACTGTGAGGGTTGGAAATGTAAAGGTAGACATTTTGTAGCGAAAGGAGGGGAGTGATTGACTTTGCACCAGGAGCAGAGGTCCCTGGGACCATCAAGGGAGAACGGAGTGCGGGACCCTACCCAGAGAAGCAGTGATGCCAGAGATGGAGGCAGAGACGATGACGTGGAGAGATGGAGCTGCTGGGGTCTCTAGACCCAGAGAGGGAGAGGGGCTGTGTGCTGATGACCAGGGGACAGTACACCCTTTGGTTGGTTGATGATGCATGGAGGGGATTGTAACCATGGCAATGAAATGATATACAATAGGATGAATGTAAAACTAATGTTCTTCCATGTAAACTATCACATAATTCACAATAAAAAAAAAATAATAAAGGGTAATGGAAGTTTTCCACGAAATTTTTACAGTCCCCTTGTATATACATACTTGTATGCATGTGGGACGCCTGGTGTGACGCTGTAGGATCAGCACTGGACTGCGACCACAAGTTTGGCGGTTCAAGCCCACCAACTGCTCCTCGGAAACCCTACACAGGGTCGCTATGGGTCGGAACGGACTGTACAGTACTCAACAACAACTTACATTGTGCCACCCAGGAGCTCCTCTCTGTGAGATGGAGTCCCAGAGTAGTTCAAACTTCAAACATCTCTGCATCCACACCTCTTACTGAAACATGCCACACCTGATGAGTTGATAGAGGGTATACGATTCCCAGTCCAGGATTGGGGGTGCTTACAGCCTGATCTTTCTGCAGGGAGGTGTGCAACCTGGTGTTGGGAAGCGGACGCCAGCTTGTCGTGTAAGGAGGGAGGTCTGGGAGGGAGCTCCGCATGCTTCCCTGACCTGGAGACAGGTCTCTGTCCTCTCTCCCTGTCCTGGCCGTGTTTCCTTGCGAGCGAGTGATTAACATCAAGGACGGCTGTGGACCGTGAGTCCGGAGCTCAGCAGCCACCAGCAGCAGCAACTCAGGAAGGGCGTGCGGATCCCTCTAGCCCCGCTAAGACCCTGCGCTCTGCCTTCGTGGTCCTCGGGCTCCACCCAGTGGTCAACTGCACAAGGCTAACAGCACCCAAGTGCAGTGGATTTGGCAGCCCTGGAGGTTTTGGCTCTCGCAGTTTCTGGAAAGATGATGGTCTACTTCCACACTTAACGCTTCAAGCACAAGGGGTTGTGCACTGAAGGTGATGCCTGGGAATCGGGGCCCATTTTTGTCTCTTTAACGTTCATTTTTGCGGCCTGGGATTTCCTGTCCTTCCCTTTTAGCCTGGTTCCTCTTGTGTGTTAAGATGGTGAGACAGAAACTCATCACTCTAAGGCTCCTTAATTGGGGAGAAGGCTCAATTAACTAACAGTCCTAAGAGAGTCTTCTCTGATCACACTGGCTCCTTCTCCTGAGAGATAAAATGAGGATTAGGATGATTAGTTTGATTTTTTTTTTAGGCCAGGTAGTTCCATTAAGTGTCTGTACCAGGAACGGTCATTGGGTAAGCTACGGTCATTGCTGCCCTCTCTGACCACTAAGGGGCCCAGAGATGGGTCCTGGAGGACCGTACTAAAGCTGATGCCTATTAGAGGGACCGATTAGGCCCGTTCTGTGGTGTCCGGAGTGAATGGGTGGAGGCAGAGGGTGGTACACATTTTTTTCAAGATCCTGAGTGTGTGCAGGCTTTGGCTTTTTCTGGAATGGGTTGAGGTTATTGTGAAAGGTGGGTGTCAAGACAAGTGTGTTAGCTTTCACTGTAACACTCTCCATAAATAAACTGTGAAAATATAGACCCCCTCTTCCCCTGGGGTTGGGGAAGAGGGAAGAAAGGACTCGGATTGGAAGTACTGTAGCTCAGGGGTTGCCACCCCCCTTCTCAGAGAAAATATTTCCTCCTGGGACACCCATCAAACCAGGGCAGGTGATGGAGGGCCTGGGGGTGCAGAGGATGGGGCGGGTTACCAGAACAAACAAAAGGAGCTGGACGCTTCACTAAACATTCTCATTTAAGACACAGAAGTCGATGAGGGAAGGAAATCTAGGGACAGAAAGGTGAGGCAACTTGACCATGATCTCCCAGTTAAAGAAGATGGGACCTGACCTCAACTCTGGTCATTACCCAGGGGGGTTCAGCAAAGCATGCTCTGCACCAGAGAGGGAGATGTGGACTCTATAGAGCGTTTTCTGCCTGGCTGAAGTTGGCTTCTTCTTCTGGGCACTTGGAAGAAATGGATGCATCAAGCAGGCATGGGGTATCATATTTTCACTTTAAAACCAATGCCCTAAAAGCCTGCAATCCAATGGAGTGGCTGGCAGCCACCTGAGAGGCTACTGCGATCGTCCAGGCAAGGGCTGCGAAGGGCCCAGAGCTGAGAGACAGCTGAGGCAGAAGCCATAGGATGTAGGATTGAAGAAGAAAGATGGTGTTGGGTTGTAGTTTAGGTGAGGGACACAGCCCAATGTCTGGGACAGTCTTTATTGGAGTTTGGAATGGCCGAACAATTCACTTTAATCAGAGCCAGGTTGTGAGGAAATGAGTGGCGATGGTGGCAGACATCCAGCAGGGAGGTCCTGACTACAATAAGGAACACTGCTCGCCTGCGAGCAGTACCAGGGCATACACATACACTCTTACACAAACTCACACTCTCAAACACACTCCCTCCCTTCTGGTGGGTCTGAGCCAGGAGCCCTGCCTGCCCAGTCTGCTCCCCTCTCTGGAAAGGCCTCTTGTCCACTCTGAGCTGAGGCTGAAGGATGCACTTGAGGACAGGGAGCTGAAAGCTGCAGGTGTCTTGCAGTTTAAGAGAGGATTCGGTAGCATGGCAGAAACTGCTGGGGACAGTCTAAGGGAGCTGGAGACAGTGCTGGTGACGTGGCATGGGGGTAGGGTGGAAGAAAAGGCCAGCTCCTCTACTTCACACACTCCAACCTCACAGCCTGTCCAGAGCCCTGGGCATTGGAAGCATGGGGAGCATCAAGGGGTCCCCTGTGTCCTAGGAAGGCACTGAAATGGGGAACAGATACTGGGCACCCCAAGGGGAACCCAAGGGGAACAGGTAAAGGGATGACAGGGTGAGAAGGGACTTACATGCCAGTTGTCCAGGGCAAAGAGACTGGGGAAGCACAAACTCAGCCTCCCATCCTAACCACAGGGGTGAAGACTGGACTGAGATGTGGCCCCTCCAGCCAGCAGAGGGGAGAAAGGGTCAGAGTCAGGGTCTGTCAGATGAGCCTCTGCCCTTTGGTCTCCAGGACAGTGGAGCAGGGGAGCCTGATCTCACCCAAGTGTCCAACATGGGAGTTGGAGGCAGGAGGAGTGTGGAGCTGAGCCCCCTGCCCCCATGGCCAGGGCTACCAGAGCACAGCCCCATCCAGGTTCCCGTAGCCTGGCTCAGCCCGAAGTCTCCAGTATGAGTTGTTGGTGACCCACCATTCCTTCCCGCTGCTGTCCATCTGCCGCCTAAGGGGAGAGCGCAAGATGCTGAGGAACTGCTTTCACATCATGTGCCTCCACTCTGTACAGGAAATGGTCAGAGGGAAGGAGGCAGGTGACCCAGGGCCAATGGGGAGGTAGAGGCACCTGAAGAAGCGAGCCTGGTGGATGATGTTATTCTCCTCCATCACTTTGCGTCTGTCCCGCTGTAGCTGCTCGATCCTTCTCTTCTGTGCCTCTGCTGCCTGTATGTTCCCCTCCTCCAGGTACCTGAGGATCCAGATGGCAGTCAGCAGCACTCTCCACCCTCAGGAGGCCTTGGGGGCCCAGCTCTGTCCCCTATATAGCCCCATTTCTCTGAGTCACCTCATTGGAGGAAGGCATCATCCCAGCTCCAGGAAGGAGGGAGCGAGGATAGTGGCTCCAACGCGACCCCAGCCTGGCACTAACCTCTGGTCTGGCCGGAGCCGTGTGTCGGTGGAGGGCAACGACCGCTTCAGTTCTGTTGTCAGCTCATTCAGCTCCAAGGCAAACTGAGTGAAGCCGAAGTTGCGCTCATGGTCTGGGGGCATAGAGTCTGGGGGGAAGGCATGGGGCTGGGGCAGGTGGACTGTGCCATAGCTGTCCTCCCCCTGCCCAGCCCTCCCCAACAACCCCACTTACTGGGTTTCCAGATGCACTGACCGCCTGGTGGGGGTCCCCGGAACAGTCCTTCATGCCACTTTCCAAAGAGCCGATGGAGGACACGGCCACTCCGGCTGAACACAGCTCCCTGCACCTCATGGATATTGGAGCTCCAGTATTTGGCCTGGGGCATGGGGGAAAGCAAGAGTCTTAAGGAGGTATGCCTTCTTATCCAGGTGACCTCCAGAAACAGAGGCTGCTGGGACAGCTGGGCAGGTCTATACAGTGTGCCCACCTTGCAGAAGGTGATCTTGCAGTGACAGGAGCTATCCTGGGTGTTCCGGATCAGTACCTCCCCGTAGTGCTCAATCCAGCGCTGGCCACTCAGGATATTGTGGATGCAGGATGTCACCTTGTTCCACTCAAAGTGGTCCCCAAACCTAGGAAAGACAGGGCACAGAGGGTAGCTGACCAGCCCTGGGAGCCAAGTTATCACCCTGAATTGGAAAGTGAGCTGCCTGGGGCTGTGGAAAGAAGCTGGGGTCCTGATTCTGGCTCTCTCACGAAGGAAGATGTATTTATAAAGCAGAGCCTTCTTTCCAAAATGCATTCAATTCACTCATCATTCATACAACAACTGGTGCCTATGGAGTGGGGACAAACACATAGACCTGGTCCCTGCCCTTGGGTGCCAGGGACTGTGGTAGATAAGGTTCACATATCTATTATCCTGCTTAATCTTTACTTCTATTGTGTATTATTTACTGCTTCTGTTTTATTGATGAGCAGATTCAATACTCTGAGGCACTAACAACTAAGCCCACCACTCCTCTGTCAGTTTGTTGCACTGTGGTGGCTTATGTGTTGCTGTGATTCTGGATGCTAATGCCACCAGGATTTTAAATACCAGCAGAGCACCTATGGTGGACAGGCTTCCGCAGAGCTTTCAGACTAAGACAGACTAGGAAGAAGGAAAGGTGGGCTACTTCTAAATGCTTAACCACTGAAAACCTTCTGAATAGCAGTGGTACACTGTCAGATATAGTGCCAAAAGAAGAGCTCCTCATGGAAGACACTCAAAATACAATTGGGGAAGAGAAGAAAAGCTGCCTCCTCAAAGTAGAGTTGACCATAGTGACGTGAATGGAGCAAACTTTTCAGGACCTTCATTTACGTTTTAGGGTACAACTCAGAACAAGAGGAAACAGCTATAAATATCCCTTGATAAGTGGCACATGGTATATACACAAAGTATGAATCTAGGTAAATTAGAAATGAAATGCCTAACATATCGATCTTCATGCATTCCAAAAATGAAATGAATGCATAAAGATCAATACCCTAGGCATTCATGAGGTAAAATGGGCTGGTATTGCCATTTTGAATCTGACAATCATATGGTTTACTATGCCTAGAACATCAAATTGAAGAAGAATGGCATCACATTCATCATAGAAAAGACCATTTCAAGATTTGTGACATAATAACATCCATACACCTATAAGGAAGGCCAATCAATGCCACTATGCTTCAAATTTACACACCAACCATTAAGCCAGTGAGGATGACATGGAAGAATCTTACCAACGTCTTCAGTCTGAAATTGATCAAACATGCAATCAAGATGCATTGACAATTACTGGTGATTGGAATGCAAAAATTGGAAACAAAACAGAAGGATTGGTAGTTGGAAAATACGGCCTTGGTGAAAGGAAAATATGATGCTGGAAATCGCATGGTAGAACTTTGCAGGAAAGACCAGTTACTTATTTATTGCAAATACCTTTTGAAACAAATGAAAGAGGACTCTACACAAAGGAGCTCTGGTAGCATAGTGGTTATGAATCGGGTTGCTAACCTCAGGGTCAGCAGTTCGAAACTATCAGCTGTTTCATGGGAGAAAGATAAGGCTTTCTGCTCCCGTAAAGATTTACATCCTCAGAAACCCTGTACAGGGTCCGCTATGAGTCGGAACCAACTCCATGCAACATAACAACAACAACATACACATGGACCTCACCAAATGGAATACACAGAAATCAAATTGACTACATGTGTGAGAAGGGATGGTGGAGAAGCTCAATATTATTACCAAACAAAGTCACAGGCCAACTGTGGAATGGACTATCAATTGCTCATATGCAAGTTCAGGCTAAAGCTGAAGAAAATTCAATGAAGTCCACAAGAGTCAAAATATGACCTGAATTTAGAGATCATCTTAAGAACAGACACGATGCGTTAGACATTAATGATCGAAGACCAGAAGAGTTGTGGGATGACATCAAGAACATCATGTAGGAAGAAAGCAAAAGATCATTAAAAAGACAAGAAAGAAAGAAAATACAAAATGGATGTTCGAAGAGACTCTGAAACTTGCTCTTGAGTGTAGAGAAGCTAAAGCAAATGGAAGAAATGAAGAGGTCCAAGAGCTGAACAGAAAATTTCTAAGGGCAGCTTGAGAAGACAAAGTAAAGTACTATAATGAATTGTGCAAGGACCTGGAGTTAAAAAACAAAAGGAAAGAACATGCTCATCTTTTCTCAAACTGAAAGAACTAAAGTAAAAGTTCAAGCCTTGATATGTAATATTGAAAGATTCTATGGTGAGGCACTGTAAGATAAGCACTGGACTGCTAACGACAATGTCACTGGTTCAAACCCACCAGCTGCTCCTTGAAAACCCTATACAGGGTTGCTATTTTTTAGAATTGACTTGACAATATTTAACAACAGCAATGGGCAAAATATTGAATGATGCAGAAAGCATCAAAAAAAGATGGAAGTTCAGGTGTTGGGGTGGGCAATACACAAGAAGGGGGAGGGGGATGGGAGAACAAGGTAGATAGGAGAACAGTTAGGCAGGCTTGTATGTGCTCAACCTTGGAGCAAAAGGGCTCTGTGATACAGGGATTGAGGCATAGTCTGAATGGGTAAAAGAGGGGAAATAATGTTAAGATGCTTGACTGTCTTATGAATATTTGTTTCTCTTGCCTACTATTGTAAAATAGACACTTGAGGGGGAAAGAAAGGGGTATCTGGAAACATGATTATAGAAAGCTCATAAGTCTGCCTTCAGCCTATAACTGATTGGAATACCTAAAAGGGGTGCTAGAACTTGCCCAGTGAAAGAGACTTCTTGCAGAGCATTTGTAGTGTATAAGACCTTAGGTGGAATCCTGATCCCCATCCAGAACCTTCTGAAATGGGAAATTCCCACTTGAAAAGACAAGCAGACCAGCCTGGAGCAGCTAGAGGAACATAAGATACTTCTTGAAAAAAAGACCAGCAGGGAAAAACAAAAACAGTTAACAGCAGTCTGATTGGCTACTACAAGAACAAGCAAGCTGTTCACCGGGAGCCATCAAGTCCCTTCAGGATAAATCTTCTCCCAAGACTGAAACTCAGAGGGAATACATGAGAAGGCAAGTAAACTTGCTGGAGACCACGTTGGTCTTTTGATGAGAGGAAGTAGGGGAAAAGCAAGAATGAAGAGGTGGGCTGAGTCCAACCAAGTTACATAGATCCCATCAACCTGGAGTATGGTGAGAGCTGGTTGACCTGAAGTATAGTGAGACCTGGGAACTCCCGAGCCCATGAACAAGGACATGGCCACGGAAGGCTAGAGCTGAGAGTGAAGCATCCAGTTGATATAAAGTGAGGGGATATGAACAAGGATGCCCAAACTTGCAGATAGTGCCCAGTGGACCTAGCTTCAATGGCTGGATGTTCAGAACCTGACTAGAGGAAGG